TAATTCAAGTCCGGTGCAAAAACACATGATCGCACGGGCCCGCCCGGTGCGTTCCAGCCTGGGTTAAATTACTGGAGTCACCGCTAGTATAATGTATCTAGGAATAAATAAAATTTTAAAATTCTGACAAATTTCAAAATTCATTATTTTCTCCATTGAATTTTAGGAATCCGAAATTCTCACTACTCCAGCTAGACTGTAAATTTTTCACAGGTTACTGGAACCGTGGTACGGAAAACGTGATAGAATCCCCCAAGAAAGGAACGGAAATACATTAATCTTCGTGCGCCGAGTGCATTAACCTTCAAAAGCTGCTGAGATAGCTTTGATCGCTTATAATTACCATAGCATTTTATAACTTTTGAAGCGTGTGCTTAAATGATTGATAAAAAGGCATGAATGTCATCGAAATTTATCGCTTCCTATCGGTGTGTAAGAACTTTTGTTTGCGAAGGAGTTTCGTTTGTCTCCCCTTTTTTCCAGCCTTACAACCAGATAAGCCTGTAAGTCCGAAATTTGGAAAGAAACGTACATAGGTAAAAACCCGGCACTATGATTTTCGCCAGTCGAGCTCGAATCCAATAATGAGCGCATATTGAGTGGCAAAATTCCCTATTGCATTAATTTGGGTACTGTGCATTAAAAACCCGTAGAAGCACATTCTCTTCCGTCCAAAAAACCCGTCCGTTTCCAATTCCTACCCCTAACCGAGGAGGTGTTTTCGATCAGTGATTTTGACCCTTCCCCCTCCCCCTGTCATTTCCCTCCCCCAACTCTCCTGCTTTTTTTGGCTCTATTCTCAAATTAAAACGTCGCAGTTTGCACCACTTAATTCAGTTAAATGCATTTCAGGATGGACATTTATCATGCTGATGCCTTATTCCGGAATTGCCGATGTCATCACGAGGTGGAATCAAAAATGGCCGGCATCAAAGAAAATATGTTGGAAGCACATTTGGAAGTGAAGAACCAGCTGATCCGAAACCTAGAGGATATAATTGATGAACAGGAAGCCCGAATCCGTAATATGGATGATTTTATTAATGGTTAATTTAGATTTATCTCGGCTAAAAATTTTACTCGCTCACGGGCCTTGATTTTCTACCATTTCAGTATTCTGAGTTATTAAAAAAAGAACATTTCGTTTTGTTGGAGAAGTTTTTTAGCACATTTAGGTGTGCACCGTCAACATTTCGATTTTTGATCAATGTTCTCAAAGGATGTGCGCTGGATTTTAATGCGTACAGCCGTTGGTTGGATGATGTTTGTGAAGGGTAAAAAAATCTCTACGAGCACGTGAAAATTTTGGCAAGGAAATTACTAACTAGGGTGTGAGAAAAGCTGAAA